CTTCACACGATTTTCCAATACAAGATCTAGCACATGTGCCATAACTATAAACTCGATCATGATAGCAACAAGATTCATCTGATCCGCAGTGGCTATCAGAGGTACAAAATTCTCCGACGCAATTTAAGGCACATTTTCCATTAGAATCACAACAAGATTCTCCTGGCGCACAATGGCCAGAGCCAGTACAAGGCTCCCCAATGCAATTGCGTCGACAAACATTGCTTTTCAAACAACAGTGTTGAAGGCCATCACTGCAGTAAAATCCCTCAAGGCATTTAGTCGCTTCTACTTGTGAAAACAGAGCAAGATATATCACACAAAAACAAGCAGTGTTCTTTATAAATATACACGCCATTCTTTGGCCTTTGGGGTTCAAACTTTGGTTTCGAATTGGTTTTTCAGTTTTTGAAGTGAAATTAGCATGTCATAAACAAGTCCCAATACCTGTCGTGAAGGTTAACGTACGTTCTTGAAAATTCCGATCCGTCTTTTCCCATCACAAATGTCATTTGACATGAACAGAAAATTATATCTCGCCGTTGCCGAAGTATCAAATTGTTCATATTTTTTAAATATGCATTTCATTTCACCCGATTAGCGCGTTTGACGCCGGCTGACAGCCGGAAATTTTGTCTCCGATTGCTCGGCTGCCAGCCGGGCTGTACTATAGTATACTGTTCGTTCAAAAAATGCGCGCATTTCGGAGACTGGTTCTAGAATGTTTCATAAGCAGAAAACCACCAAAATTACATTAAATTTTCCGAAAATCATCGAAATGCATCTAAATTCATCTTCCCAATGCATATAGCTAACTATGCGACAGGTAAATAAACGAGAAAAAAAAACAATTTCGGCAAAAAGAAAAATTCAAATTCGTTTGCGCGCATTCCGGGACCGAACTCACGACCTTCAGCACACACGCTGAGTCTTGTCCCTCTGCGCCACCACGTCTTACACGGAAAATATGTTAATTTATTGTATATATACAGGTTATTCTTAGCCAGCGCGATTAAAGATTGCGTAAATACGTACACCATCGTACACGGCCAAGGGTACAGTAGCAGCCGAGCCGTATCTACACTTTAATACAATACTTACAATACATCGCGGCATAGATCACGGCTTCCAGCCGGGGTTATTTAACTGTAATACAATACTACCATGCAATACGAGTGTCAGCCATGCCTGTCGGTAGTATACTGTAGTATACTACGATACTTCACGGCTACCAGCCGACAATACGGCTATCAGCCGGGCCTGTCTGTAGTATACTATAGTATACTACAATACATCGCGGGTACCAGCCGACAATACGGCTATCAGCCGGGCGTGTCTGTAGTATACTATAGTATATTACAGACAGGCCCGGCTGATAGCCGTATTGCCGGCTGGTAGCCGCGATGTATTGTAGTATACTACAGTATACTACCGACAGGCTCGGCTGACACTCGTATTGCATTGTAGTATTTTATTACAGTTAAATAACCCCGGCTGGTAGCCGTGATGTATTGTAGTATACTATAGTATACTACAGACAGGCCCGGCTGATAGCCGTATTGTCGGCTGGTAGCCGTGATGTATCGTAGTATACTACAGTATACTACCGACAGGCTTGGCTGACACTCGTATTGCATGGTAGTATTGTATTACAGTTAAATAACCCCGGCGGGAAGCCGTGATCTATGCCGCGATGTATTGTAAGTATTGTATTAAAGTGTAGATACGGCTCGGCTGCTACTGTACCCTTGGCCGTGTACGATAGTGTACGTATTTACGCAATCTTTAATCGCGCTGGCTATGAATAACCTGTATATATACAATAAATTAACATATTTTCCGTGTAAGACGTGGTGGCGCAGGGGGACAAGACTCAGCGTGTGTGCTGAAAGTCGTGAGTTCGGTCCCGGAATGCGCGCAAACGAATTTGAAATTTTCTTTTTGCCGAAATTGTTTTTTTTCTCGTTTATTTACCTGTCGCATAGTTAGCTATATGCATTGGGAAGATGAATTTAGATGCATTTCGATGATTTTCGGAAAATTTAATGTAATTTTGGTGGTTTTCTGCTTATGAAACATTCTAGAACCAGTCTCCGAAATGCGCGCATTTTTTGAACGAACAGTATACTATAGTACAGCCCGGCTGGCAGCCGAGCAATCGGAGACAAAATTTCCGGCTGTCAGCCGGCGTCAAACGCGCTAATCGGGTGTTCATTTTGTTAAGTAGTTTATTGTGGCCAATCAGAACCTATGTTAGTTTAAGTGGACTTTGTTAGCTTCTAGTTATAGCCAGCGGCAGCGATATATATATAGTATCGTTCGTCTCTGATCTTTATGTACAGTTATGGAGTGACCATTTGAACATTTCATTATTCCAAGATGGCCGACACCAAATGAGCGAGAATTATGAAATTATAAATATGGATACATAACCATCCTCTGAGATATTAAAGACTAGTTCTAGTTTCATAGAATTCTGATACTGCAGTTTACATCATAGTTTACATCAAACTGAAGCTATTGAAAATTGCTATTCGATGTGGAAATTTCAAGACTATAGTAAAAATAAAAATATTTTAAAAATGCAAAAACAACTGTCATTCGGCCAAAAATGGCAAATTATTGGCAATTATTTTTGTAGTATTTAAATATTCCCCTTTTAGCTAAAGTCTTGAAATCCCTACACCAAATAGCGTTTTGCAATAGCTTCAGTTTCATATACAGCACAACGTTCAGTGTGGAGCATTTCTGCTAAAAACTCAGAAAAACTAAAATGCACTGGCTTCAATCCCCC